CCCGTCCCGGCGGCCACCTGCAGCCGAGACGCGACGTCGCGGGGGCCGCCCCCGGCTTCCGCGAGAGGACGACGGAAGCGGAGCTGCGAATGGTGGTTCCGGCCCCGGGCGAGACGGCCGCGGGGCTCCTTCCTTCTCCGTGGGCGGCCCAGCCCTCGCCGAGCCCGGGCGGCTGGAGCCTTTTAAACGCGCGGGTTTCCCCTCCCAGCCCCGCCGGGGCCGCGGGAACCGACGTTAATAGGAGCTTCAGCGCGAAGGGTCGCGCCGGCGAGGCTGAGGGAGACGGGTGGTCGCTCGCCCCGGGGAGTAAAGCGGGGACGCGAGGGAAATGTTCCTTTGGCCCAGCCGGCTTGCCTCTGGGAAGCTTCTAGAAGTAAAAGGAACAGTACACGAGTTCTAGGCGAAAGTGATTCCTGAGGCGGCGGGCTCGGGCTGCGGAACGACGTGGTGCTTGCCGTGCGGACCCTCCGTGTGCGTTCAGTCTGTGGTGATCTGTGGTGATCGGCGGTGTGTGGCTCAGCGAAAGAGACGTCTGTACAGAGACGTATAAAGCGGTAACAAAAAGCGAATTCTGCTTGTGTGTGGACGCGGCAGCACGGTGCAGAGCGAGCGCGAGGAAGGCTGAGGACCGCGGTCCTCCGCTGCAGCTGCTTCTAGAAGTTTCGTGAGGGAACGAAAGTGGAGAACGGTGGAGCGGGGTGCGAAGATGGGGGGGGGGAGGGAAATGCGCGGTAATAATCACTTTTAAATTGTAAGTTTTTATAATAGGACTACAAAACTCTGTTAAAGTAGATTTTGAAGAGTAGATCGTAATTCCGACCGCGGAAAAGGAATGAGAGGAAGGTGAAGGGCAGTTTTTCTCTGGGGATTTCAGTTGTGTGAAACTTTTAAATAAAATCGTAGTTTCAGTGATTTTGATACTGTTCTGCAATAAAATAACATTTTTCAAAAAAGAAGGGCGATGGCTGTGAAAGTGGAGCCCCAGGACCTGGCGGGGTTTCCCCTTCCCTATAAGCTCTGATAGACAAAATGGGTCCGAATCAACGTTCTCAGAGCTCTGCAAGTTTGCGTCTCGCAGCAACTCATTTGTTATTTAGTCCAGAAAAACAGCTGTATCCAAGTAAGAACATCCCATTTCGCAACATTTTAACGTGCCCCCCCCACCCCCAGCTCCAGTGGCGGCCTTGAAGACGACAGTTGCGCTGTTTTGATGCCTGCGCGGGAGAGCGCAGAGCAGAGCTGCAGCCTTCCGAAGCCTCATTCCCCCAAAAGTCAGCCTTTGAGCCATCTGGTGATTCCCTGGAAG